CACTCGCCTCCGATTGCAATCAGTGCAAATAATCAGTGGTATACCATCTGATGTCAGCGGATTTGAAGCCGATGTAGTGGATCCAACCTCCATACTCATGGATGAAATGGTGAATGGCGCCAACTGTAAGCACATAGAGAGAAGGGGAACGATTTGGTCAGCTAGTGGAGAGTGAGGAAGAGAGATAGGAGGTGGGTTGCCATTTAATAACTCAGGTAAGGACTTAAATACATTCTTCCACCAACCATTATGGCGCCAAAACTCCCGCCAAATCCAACCTGGACGCCACATGGACAGCCACGTCGGTTAAAAAACTGAAACAAAGCGGTATGGGCTAGGAATGCGTCACTAACAAAGATTATGGACCCAAAAACCCACTTTCAGAGATAATGGACCTAAGTGAAACTTGAGTGCAAGTTGATGGACCACTGATGCACACACATCTGCTTTGCCTGTTGATGGTCATTCGTGCATGCAGGCACAGCGTGAGTGTGCGGTGTATGGATATATTTGTGTCTATGTTTGTATTATAACTCAGAAAAAAGTGTTTGTAACACGTGCCAAAAGTATATTATTATAAAATAATTGTTTTAAATAAATGTACTCCTATTTTTAGATATTTAAACTCAATAGAGATATACGTACAATATTAATCAAAAATTGAAATCCGTTGACTTCATACAACCAAGAAATTCACTTATTTGTGATCAAAGCAGAAGGGGGCCCAAGGGGTATTCATTGGATATCTGTTATTTTTGTTAATCAATAGTAAGTGTATAGCCAATTATATATGTCAAAATAGGGTAAAATCAATCATTCTTTTTATCTTTTAAAATTTTGAATACATGTTCTTTAAATCACAGGCCCACCTCTAATTTGAGGGGACCACAAACATATCACAATCAGGCGCTTGTCTTCACCTTCGATAACACTAAACTTTCTTCGGATTGCTATAACATTAATCGTTCTTCACATTGTTGTGCCGTGCATCAGTTAAACAAAGCGAATTGTCAAATCTGGAATTAAAACCTTGTACTACTAACCATTATTCATTAATACAAAAAGAAAAGGGTAGTAAGCCTAACCATTGATAGTTTACAATAGCTAATACATTGTCAAAATGAATTTAATACATTGGACTAGACCTGAGCATTTTGCGGTCTGAGCCCGGCCGAAAAAAACTTCGGTTATTTCGGGCCGAAATAACCCCACCCATGACCATTCCACTAGGCGAGTCAAGCCTATTCTTAGAGGCTGGGCTCATACTGAGCCCGGACCTGGCGTGTTGCCTGTGGAGTTTATAGCATAAAACAGCTAAAATAAATATTTTAGGCCAGGTTTGAATCGAGAAAAAAAATTCAGCGATATCTATGCCCAGGCCCTATCAACTAAGGTATGTGGGCGGGCCAAAACGCAGCGGGCTCAGGCGGGGCCTAATTTGCTCAGGTCTACGTTGAACCAACATCAATCTCGTAGGCGAAAAGGTTAAGGATCAATTTGGAGCCATTTTCTTTGGATTCATCAATCTAATAGTTCGGTGAAAAAATTGACTTGCCTGGAACAGGAACCTCCACATAGGAACGATGAAATCATACAATCCTGCCACAAAGACACGTAGAAATGCTAACGTAACATATATGGCTCTTAATCATTATCCTGGGTGATAGCATCGTCAAAGAAGACAAGGTGAAAAACTCAACCATACGAGGTTAGACATCATAAGAAGTAATCAGTAAGTAATATGTGTGTTAGATGAATTAATTTGATATATTATACACAAACGGCCTGTTCGCTTATTGGTTTCAGCCAGGGCTTATCAACCATGATACAATATTTTTCTCTCACAATAAACCAGCACAGTCGGGCTTATCAGTCCAGAAACCAACCAGCGAACAGGCTGAAAGTGTGAAACTATTTACATTTCTCTAATAATCTTGTTTAAACAAACTACTCTTGCTTTGTATGTCTTAATGTCCCTTTAAATTCATGTTTTTAATTTTTGAACATTACATAATTTTTCGTTAGTGACTACTACAAGTCTGCAACTCTAGTGCACACTCTGTCTATATATATGTTGGCGTGCTTCCATCAGCGTTGGCGTGGGAAGGATACTTCCACAACAACTTGTAACTTGTAAGACCTAAGCAAGCGCCTAACATCCTAGCGCACTCATTTGACCTGACTGATTTGAGTAATCTATAAATCAATGAATAAAATGTATTGTATAGTTGCCGATTAGATGTGCAATATTCTCAACTCTCAACACTAACATCATTTATTGAGGAATACAAACACACATCATTGGCTAATACTAATAATTTGTCTATTTCCATATGCTTCCTAATTTTTGTATAACCTGTGCTTATTAATCATATGAACAAGGGTTTTTTGAATTTGTACCATTATAATTTTACAAGTTTGGAGAAATATCATTACTATTCATCTATTTGGAAACATGTCATTATAATTTTTGTTCAGATTAAATCGTGCCATTTTCTATGTATTCTACAACTTTGGGCCCACGCGCAGGTGACTAAAGGTAGGTGTATTCTCGTATGCCCCAAAATACCCCTCTATTTCTCTCTCCCTTCACTCGTGGACACGTGGGGCTCACACGTCAGCTTCTTCCTCAACCTCCGGCTGACCGGCCGTGACCAAATCGGGCCCCACACATCCTGCTGCTCCCGCACGAGAACGACGGCGGCATGGCCGACCTGCAGTGACCTGCCACCCGTGACTTCGGCCGCCGAACACGGGAGCTGGCCTCCACGCGGCTCGCCATCCTCTCCATGGGGCTCCTCGGCACAGACCGCGCTAGAGAAGGCGCTCACCACCCATACAGCAGCAGGTGACGAACATCAGCAGGATCTCGACCTCCTCCTGCAGCTCAAGATCAACTACTACCCGAGGTGCCCGCAGCCGGAGCTGGCCGTCGGCGTTGAGGCACACACGGACGTCAGCGCCCTCTCCTTCCTTCTCCACAACGGCGTGTCGGGACTGCAGGTCTCGCGCGTGCGTGTTGCTGGTCCGCGCGCCCGCGCTGGCGGCGGCTGCTGCTGCTTGCGCACGCGCCCGCGGCGCAGCTGCTAGCACGTGTGCCTGCGTGGCGGCGGTGACGGCTGCTGCTCGCTCACGTGGCCGCCGGAGCATGGTCGACGACAAGATCCTCGAGTTGGCCGTGGGGTGTGGGCGCCAGGATGCTGCCAGAGCGGATGGTCACGCGCCAGGCTTGCCGTAGCCGATCTGGTTGCTTGCCGTAGCCGATCTGGTCACCATGACGTGTGGGGCCCATATGGCAGCGAGTGAAGGGAGAGAGAAGCAGATGGGTATCGTGGGACATACGAAAATACATCTACCTTTAGTCACCTGCGTGGGCCCAACGCTGTAGAATACGTAGAAAATGGCACGATTCAAGCTGAACAAGAATTATAGGCCCTGATCACTTCGTAAAAAAACAAGCCGAAATACTGTTCCAGCTGATTTGTTGTGAGAGAAAAACACTGTTCCGGCTGAAAAAACAAGCTGAAAAGTACGGATTATAAGAGAAGCGAACAGGGCCATAATGACATGTTTCCAAATAGACGAATAGGAATAACATTTCTCTGAACTTGTAAAATTATAATGGTACAAATAAAAAACCAGATGAACAACTGAGCGATATGACACCCATATTTGAAACTTGATTCCCCCTTTTCTTCTCTGAAGATGTCCCAAAAGGTAATGTAATGCTGAGGAAGTGAGGAGTGACTAAGTGAGGACAACTGATGACCTAGACTCGGAGTCGTCTTCTTTAAACAACAACTTCCTAATTTAATTGAAAAAAAAAAGAAAAACAAAGCAACAACTTGAGTTGAGTATGTGCAGCCAGAGTCGTTATCACTATCGAAGTCAATGCATCGGGAAATGGTTTGATTCGATCTGCAGCATTTGGGTCTTTTGGGAAGCCGGCTCTGACCTCTCTGATACAGGCTTGCACTTACCAGCAGGGAATGAAGGCGCTGGTCCTACCTGTCATGGGGCGCGTAGCCAGTCTCAAAGGTCCATCGGAGTGGGCGAGTCGGTCGTCGCCAATGGCCACCGACAGAGTCCGTCCCCATATTCAACGTGCACTAAAAAGGACACTTTGCACGGTGTAGCCGACAGGTGGGCTCTTGGTGCCGGGCCCGTGCGTCAGTTGCCGATGCTGGGTCATTGTATGGGCACCAGCAGTGGTTCGCGTCGGCCGGCTGCTGTGCTCTTCTTCCAGTCGTGCCCGTGCGTGCTCCCCCCACCAACCCAACGAACACGCATACTACAGCACCAAACTCACTTTTCTTTCCGTGGCGCGCACCTAACTTACCCGCTGACGCGTGGGCCCTCCCTTGACCCCTTTGGCGTGCGGGCCCCACCTGCCCGAATCGTTTGGCACGAACGCAAGCAAAGCTCGAGTTGTCACGTAGGTGAGACGTTCCAGTCCCACGACACTGCTTGCTACACCAACCAACACCTGTACAGGGCAAACCACTGAAAAGTGGGACCGGCGTGTCGGGCCCTGGTGTCAGTGTAAGCTTCTTCGTTACGATCCTGTGGGCACTAAAATTTTGTACTTTACTGACAGGTAGGACCACCCGAAGTTCACCTGGAGGTAAGTCGTGGAACCAAGTTTATCCGTTATCGAGATTCACCGAGCCGGTAAAAAGAAGCAACGTGGAACTAGGCGCACGGGCGGTCTCGCCACAAAACTCTTTTACTCTCACTGAATGATGGGGCAACGCGACCAGATTGCACGTACCGGGTCCACCTGGCGGCGACAGTACAGGTAGTCTGGGTTGGCCGCGCAACGCCCGTATGCCCCTGCGCCCACCTCCATTAAACCACCACGACCTCTTCGCGCAACGCAGCGGAAAAGCGCCATCTCATTCTCTTCTTCTTCCTGTGTCTCGTCTCTACTCTGCCCCCGCGCCCGGGGGAGCCGCGAGCGTCGTGCCACTCCCCTCGCCCCTCCTGCCCACAACGCCGACATGGCGCCGTCGGCGTGGGCCCTCGCCCTCGCCGCACTCTGCATCGTCGCGCTCGCGCCGCCGGCCGCAGGGTTCTACCTCCCCGGCGTCGCGCCCAATGACTTGGAGAAGGTACGCGTAAGACAGCCCACACCTTCGCCTCACCTCGCCTCCGCTTCTCCCTTCTGGCTCGAGATCTCCTCCCTACTACTTTGTGTGTTTGGGGATCGCGTGCGGTCGGATCTGCTGTCGGCCGCCCCAGATCTGCGAACGCGCGGGCCGGCCGCATCGAGATCTGGCTGCGCGTGTTCGCGACGAATCTCGCTCTCCGCGCAATGGGTGGCCCTGAGAATGTTTCGGTCCTATATGAGCCGTGCAAAAAGCTGCGTATGTGTTTCTCCCTTCACGTTCTCCGCATGAGATTCTCATCGCGGTTGGATGCGTGATGGAGAGACAAACGACGGAGATGTGCCTTCACCGGGAAGGGCCCAGAGTGTGCACCTAGGAGAATGTGGAGCTGCAAAATTTTACATTACCGAGTGTCTGAGTCCTTCGGCGACAACATCCAGAGAAGGATCATATTAGGTTGTTACATTTTTAATATCAGTCGTTGTTGATTACGATATACTAGTTATGGCAACTGTTCTGTTCTGGAATGTAGTTTTCATTGATTTTGTAGCATTAAACCTAAGTACCTGTGAAGAACCTAGTTTTCACACTGCGATCGTGACAGTAGTTGCATTTTCACCCTTTATCTGTAATATTTTTTAACATATTTTATGTTTCGTTGTATGTTTTATTTGTCTGTTTGTCAGTATCTGACCTATTGTCTTCCTACTTGTTATCAGCATTTGTCTTTTGTTGATATATTCATGTTAGTGCTGTTTGAAGTATTTAATAGAATCCGTGGCCTCATGCTGTCTTATTCCTTAAAATATTGGAGACATGTTTCTACTACATTAATAGATGTTTATAAGAATTATTGCATTTTAAATATCATTACAGAAAGATCCACTTCCTGTGAAAGTCAACAAGCTGACCTCAATCAAGACACAACTTCCCTACTCCTACTATTCTCTCCCATTCTGCAAGCCGGATACCATAGTTGACAGTGCTGAAAATCTCGGTGAAGTTCTTCGTGGAGATCGCATTGAAAACTCTCCCTATATGGTTTGTTCTTTCACTGTGCATTGGTTTATCTGATCAGTGTTTGACACCTTAGGCACTACTTTGACTGTTGAGCATATTCTTTTTTTTTTCAGTTTGAAATGAGGGAGCCTCAGATGTGTCAAATAGTCTGCAAGATATCTGTTGGGGAGAAAGAAGCAAAGCTTCTCAAGGAGAAGATTGAAGATGAGTACCGTGTTAACATGTATGTCAATAATTTTGCTGCTTGATTCAGGACTATCTATTAATGTCTGCCAATTGTTGAAACGTGATTTCTCTAAATTGACAGGATTCTTGACAACCTACCTTTAGTTGTTCCTATTCAAAGAGTAGATCAAGAAGGTGCTTATTTCTATCAACATGGATTCCATGTTGGGGCCAAAGGAAAATATTCAGGGGTAAGTGGCTGCGACACATTGTTGCTCAAATGTTGTATTAATGCATAATCTTATGTGATGCACTTCTCATATATTTGTCAGAGCAAGGATGAAAAATACTTCATCCACAACCATCTATCTTTTACGGTGAAATATCACAGGGATGAGCAAAGGGATGTTTCCAGGATTGTGGCCTTTGAAGTGAAACCATACAGGTACATTGTTTGGAATGAAATAGCTGTAATTAAACGTAGACATTATCCTACTTGTTAATATCTAACCACAGAACTATGACGCATGCTGCAGCGTTAAGCATGAATATGAAGGGCAATGGAATGATAAGAAGACCCGCCTGACAACGTGTGATCCTCATGCTCAGCGTATAATTACTTCATCTGAGTCTCCTCAGGAGGTTGAAGTTGGCAAGGATATCATATTTACTTATGATGTGGATTTCAAGGTCAGAACTATGCTTGATTCTTTTTGTATTCCAAATAAGTGATTGTAGTAGCTGTAGTACAAAGTGTCCTCTAAGTGGAGCATGAATATTGTGTGTTCACTCATTTCTGAGAACTACTGTGAATTTGTAGGAGAGTGACATCAAGTGGGCATCTCGGTGGGACAGCTATTTATTGATGACAGATGATCAGATCCACTGGTTCTCAATTGTGAATTCTCTCATGATTGTTCTCTTCCTTTCTGGAATGGTTGCAATGATCATGCTTCGTACCCTTTACCGGGATATCTCCAAGTATAACCAACTTGAGACTCAGGAAGAGGCCCAGGAGGAGACTGGATGGAAGCTTGTTCACGGTGATGTTTTCAGGCCTCCATCAAACTCAGACTGGCTCTGTGTTTATGTCGGCACCGGTGTCCAATTCTTTGGCATGCTGCTTGTCACTATGGTATTTGCGGTTCTTGGCTTCCTTTCTCCATCGAACAGGGGTGGACTGATGACAGCCATGCTCCTGCTCTGGGTGTTCATGGGGTTGCTTGCTGGCTACTCTTCTTCACGTCTTTACAAGTTGTTCAAGGGCTCAGAATGGAAGAACATTGCCTTGAGGACAGCCTTAACTTTCCCTGGCAGTGTGTTTGCTATTTTCTTCTTCTTGAATGCTCTTATCTGGGGGCAAAAGTCCTCAGGTGCTGTTCCATTCACCACCATGTTTGCCCTTGTCCTCCTTTGGTTCGGTATCTCAGTACCGTTGGTTTTCGTTGGAAGCTTCCTTGGCTTCAAGAAGCCTACCATTGAAGATCCAGTGAAGACAAACAAGATACCAAGGCAGATCCCTGAGCAGGCCTGGTACATGAACCCAATCTTCTCGATTCTAATCGGAGGGATCCTTCCATTTGGTGCTGTGTTCATCGAACTCTTCTTTATCCTTACCTCCATCTGGCTGCAACAGTTCTACTACATCTTTGGGTTCCTCTTCCTTGTGTTCCTGATTCTCATCGTGACATGTGCTGAGATCTCGATTGTGCTATGTTACTTCCAGCTCTGCAGCGAGGATTACCTGTGGTGGTGGAGGTCATACTTGACATCTGGTTCCTCTGCACTCTACCTCTTCTTGTATGCAACCTTCTACTTCTTCACAAAGCTTGAGATCACCAAGTTTGTCTCAGCTGTTCTGTACTTCGGTTACATGCTCATTGCCTCGTATGCCTTCTTCGCCTTGACCGGCACAATCGGATTCTACGCGTGCTTCCTGTTCACAAGGCTGATTTACTCATCGGTCAAGATCGAGTAAGGTGAAGTGCACTCTTGCCTAATTCTTTGTTGCCACGAAGAAAGAAGTATTCTGTGGATAACGAATTCTACAGGACCGCTGAGTTTAGCTGCAAGTGGCCTCGTTTTGAGTTTTCAAAGCTGGTAGTTATGATGAAGTTGCGATTCATTACCGTATGATTCAGGTATTATAGCTAGCTCAGTTTTTTTTTTCCTCATTTGTTTTCTGTTTTTGGGCTGTGCCTTTGGACCGTGAGGATATATGCTTATGAAGCGCTCGACGCTGAGCGAACTGTATAAGGATGCTGAGTAATAATCTATCTCTTGTTCCTGTCAGAATTTATGTACTTGTTGATGTGCACTGTGACTTACATGATATACAATTATAGCTACAAAGTCCAGCTCCTGTTTCTTTTGTATCGGAGTCCAGACAAATGGATTCTTAGATAGTTTTTCTAACGTTCTGACCTTGGGGAGCTTTCGCATTTGTCATGTGTTCGTGAAGACCCTCTCTTTGGCGGGCGGTTGTCGATGATCGGATTGCTGATCTCTTTTTTTTCCTCTTCTACGTGACACGATGATAACTCTTCTGCGTGACACGATGATAATGATGAAAATCGAAGGATTATGCGCAGCGCAGACGCGTCGCGCGCGCGACGCGTACGTGACGGCTCGCAGCGCTTGGCTCCATTGTTCCCGGTCGCACTCCATTTTTCCCGTCCGCGACGGCCTCCTGAGGAAGCGGTATAGTCGATGTGCCGCTGTCGGACTCGGACAAGAGAAGGAAACTTTTCAACGTGGCAGATGCAGATCGCTGATGGACGGAAACTGGGAGGAAGGGGGCGCACAAAATTCGACGGCGTCCCGCGTGGTGATGCCTCTAGCGGCCGGACGGAATCCGAGTCCGAGTCCGAGTCCGAGCAAACTTTGGAGTTGGAGAGGACGAGTCCGACTCGATCACGAAGTACGTACGATTCTCGATTCCACTATCGTCGTCACCACATCATCTCGTGTATAAATATACGATGCGAAGGAGAGGTCCTCCCTTGCATTGGTCCTGTACTGTATCATCCAAAAGCAGTTTCCCGGCTCATTAATCACCGCTGCAATGGAGAAGCAGGGAAAGCTTTCCTTCTCCATCCCCACACAGCGTCGCCGGCTCATCAAGCCTCCTGCCTGCCTCGCCGCCGTCGCCGACGAAGGCACAGGATCTCGCTCCACGCCCGCCCCGCAGTTCATCACCGAGTTCGGCCCCTCCGAAACCGCAACCCTCGCCGCGGCGCCCGCTATCATTGTCGCACCGCTCCCCAACTTCCACCTGTTTCGTCGCGAACCCTGCGACGGATCATCGTCACTTAAGCCTGCGATCATCGAGGAAGCAGGCATCGTCTTCACCAGGGAGCCCGACGACAACCCTCGCTCCTCCAGCCACGCCTACGGCCTCAACCTGCCAAGCGCCCCTGCTGCCGCCATGGACAAAAACAAGGCACCGCCTCATCAGATCACCACCACCGGCAGCGAGCTCTTGCGGCGGCGGTTCAAGCAGGACATTGCCGCCCTTTCCGACCACCGTGACACGGAGGAGTACCCCCAAGTTTTCTGCAAAGGCGTTTGCTTCTGCGGTCCTGGCTGGCTACGGCTGGTCCAAGGGTCAAGGTATTGGAAGGAACAAGAAGAAAAAGGCAGATACAAAAGTTTTCTCGTGCGGCCGTCGCCCTGGGACAGGGGCACAAAGACAGACGTTTGGCTTAGGCTACAACCCAGAGATCTCTGGGGCTGGGAAGAAGAGGAAGAGACAAGACACTAGAGAACAGGAGAGGGTTTCTAGCGCGAGACCGAGGAGGGGTTGAGAGGGAGTTTTGTGGAAAAAAAAAAGGGAAGGTCAAGATGCTGCTAGTGTGCAGCAGAGCAGGATATGCTCGAAACAGTCTTACATGAATCGATGGCCATGTGCTGCTTCTCTATGGGAAGCACACGGTGATGTTTACAGGCACCTGATACATAAGCTTTAAGAATCAAATGGGCGGAATTGATCTCAATATCTCATCCCATAAGTCGCTATAGTCTTAGCTAGGAACACATGTCGCCTGTTATTCATTGCAATGATTCCCCATGTATAAATATATGCAATACCGATCAATCAATAAAGCAATCAATTCATTCTATTATCTCAGTCTCTTGTCTCATTTACATTTGAGCCTTTGATTTACAACAAATCGAGCATTCCATTTACAATACACTATTGCGCACACCGCCAAGAACATGAGAGAAGAACAAGAATAGAAGCAATAGGGACCAAGAAAACACGACTTCCAACTTGATCTGATTGACGAGAGTAGGAGAATTCCACCCACAACGACCACCGACCCAGTCGGCCTTCATGGCAGGACGGAACATTCTGGAAGGAGTTGTTATCCTCCATGAGACGATTCACGAGTTCCATCGAAAAAATTTGAACAGGGTTATTTTCAAGATAGATTTTGAGAAAGCCTATGACAAGGTAAGTGCCCTTTTCTATTTCAAACGCTACGTATGAAAGGTTGTTGGCTCAAATAAAGGCCAAGTAGTTTTTAAGCTGCTTAATTGACCTAATTCTTAGACGTCATGGTCCCTTTAGTTTTTCAATACCTAATTAGTAAGGGCATGGTCCCTTTAGTGTCAATACTTGATTAGTAAGGGCTCGACAAGCTCATTTAAAAAATGATCTCCGATTGAAATCATTTTTCTTTTAAAATAAAAATAAGTTGATTTCAAATGACTTCTGGCTTTAGCTTGGCTCGTTAATCTTGGTTTAAAGTTAGGTATCAAAGAATTTATGAGATAATAATAAATAAGATTATGTCAAATTTAAAGAAAACTCGAAAAAAAATCCATTTGACTCGTTATCCACCTTGTTTACCTAGTGACTTGCTATGTCTAAACTGTCGTAAAAATAGCTATGTTTGAGGCGCATGAGCTGTTGTGTCAACACTTGTATTTTATTTTGCTTTGAAAGCGCATGAGCCGCTATGTCTCAACTGCAAGAGGTGCTTTTGCGTTCCAAACACAAGAGGTGACTGAACGGTGGAGGTAAGTTGCAATGCGACTTGCTCAAGGTAAGTCACTGTATTTTTGTCCAAACCAAAGTTAATAGTACTCAAATTCCACTGCTACAAAAAAATCTTTTGCCTGGCGTTTTGAAATGGGCCTCGGAGGCGGAAAAGAATTTCAACCGCCTCGGTTAATACCTGAGATTAACCGAGACGGTTATTTTTATTAACCGAGGCGGTTACAATTAACCGCCTCGCAAAATCAATTTACGGAACCGTCTCTTAAAATCTATTAACCGAGGCGGGCCTTATAAAATACCTCCATTTTCGGAGGCGGACAACTTATAAGGCCCGCCTCGGAAAAAAGGCCGAGGCCCAGACCAGGCCCGTAGGCGCGACCAAGTATAAAATCACGAGTTAGGGTTTCCTCTCTCATCTCCCACTCCTCTCCCATCTCAGCTCAATAGGAAGCGGCGCCCTTAGCTCTCCTCCCCGAGTGCGCTCCTCTCGGCGCCGCTCCTCTCCCACTCTCCCTCTCTGAGCGCCTGTAACACCCCGGTGTTATGCCAGCATTTAGGCACTGTAAATCATACATATCATGCATCATCAAACATCCTAATCATACATGCCTAATCATGTAAATAATAACTGAAACCCTGCTTCGAAATATACGAAACATGCTCGTAAAACATGAATGTTGCATACACTTGTTTAGAGTTGTTTTGCCATGATTATGCTTGCTAGGTTAGTAAAACATGTTTGGCTATGATTGTAAATCATCTAGAATTATTTAGCGCAATTTTTGGAGCAAAGTTTGTATTCAAATTATTGCCAAATTTTGCTTTAAAAATAATTCTCCAAAAATTAGGGTTTTGAGTTAAAATTGACTTTAATTTTATAATTCAAAATCTATCAAGAATTGGACTTTGGTCATAAAAGCAAAGTTGTAGAGGACTAAATTCTAAGCAACTTTTATTTTTGGGCCATTTTCAAAAGAAGTCATTTTCTTGCTCAAAATAGTACTTGAAAACTGATATTTGAAAATTCATTGAAAATATAATTAGAAAAATTGTTTATCTCTTTTATCGCGCCGCCGCCTCACTTCTGGCCCATCAGCCGAAGCCGACCCAGTGATCCTCACGCGCCCGCGCCTTCGCCTCGGCCTAGCCAGCCCTGTTGTCTTCCTTCTCTTCTCCTCCCAGAGCGTCCCGACCGCGTCGAGGCATGCATGCCAGCGTGGCGAGCGATGATTGCGACGCCGCCTGGTGGCGGCGTCCCGTGGCCCCCGCAAGCAAGCGCGCCTCACCGTTTTCAAGCCACCGCAGCTCCGCTTCTCCCAGCACTTCTCATTTTCCTCTCCCGCGCTGCGTCTCTACCTCGCCCCGCACCGAGCTCTGCTCGCGCCGCCATCGCCACCGCAGCCCCGCCGGTAAAAATTGGCCGCCGGTGGTCCACCATTGCCCGCAATCGAGCACACGTCGCTCCGCCTCGCTCCCCGGCACCTGGTGCTCGCTGCAGGGACACCATTTGAGCAAGGTATAGCGGCCTTGCGTGTTTTCGCCGTCGTCGGTCATGGCGCCGCCGCGCTTGACCTCGTCGTGGAAGGGCTTCCCCCGTCCCTTCTCTATCCCCTTGAGTGACCTGCTCGGGTTCGCCATCTTCTTGCGGACCCAGCGCGCACGCCTGCTTGCCCGGTCATGGCCGGCAACGGCCGTCGGCCCGCTCGCAGCGGCCGCACCGCCATGGCGCCTGGAACGCCGGCGTGGCCGTCTCGCCTTGGCCTTGCGCGGCCGGTCGGCCTTGAGCCGGAGCCCCGAGCCAGGCCGTCGCCTTTCCCTTCGCTCGGTTACGCAGGCCGAAAGCGGCCGTGGGCCAGTCGTTCCCATGGGCCGGCCCAGTAGTAATAGGAAAAACGTTTTCGGTTTTTCTTTATTATTTGAGAAGAGAAATACTTTGGAAAATGTTTGTGTACTCATTTTGGCTCCAAATTTGTTGAAACAAATTTTGTTGTGTTCCTTGTCACCAGATCTACATGATAAAAATATTGCATGTCATTTTTGAGATACTTTTCTGTAGAGCTTTATTTAATTCTTGATATTGCTGATATCTTGTAAAATGTGTAGAAAAACCTATAGGCTTTAGAAAAATATGATTCCAAGTTTGTTAATCTTCTTATGTAATGTGCTTCCTAGGAAAAATATGTGTCATGCATGTGCTGTAGAAAAATTTTAAGGTGTAGTTCAAGTGCCTTTAATGGCTGATTTCTGTTAATTTTGCTAGAGAGCAAAATTTTTATAAAACATGCATGTGATAATTTTTGTACAGTGATTATTTACTGTGTAGAACATAGGAAAAATATTTCCTCTGTTGTTTGACACTTTTCACAGTACAAAGTATTTTCATGTTCATAATCATGCCATAGCTTATTATTTTTGTGTAGGCTAATCCACTCATTCAAATACCATGAAAATCTGATGGTAGACTACTTAGGGTAGTACTGTGCTATGGTAATTTTCTAAGATTTTTCTAAGCAATAAAAATACATGTTGCTATTCAAACCTATTATTATTAATTAGGGTTTAATCAAGTGTTGCTTTATGTGTGATTAAGAAATTAGTGAAGCTTTGGTGTATCTTTGAAGCATTTAATAAGATGTGTTGACTTAGCATATTAGTAGTAGAAGAGAAGGCAGTAGATGACATGTGCTTGTAGTATATGTTTTTGGATGATGTTGACTACCTTGCATTCAAGCATATCCATTGTATTCATCTCATCCGATGCACCGATTGCATAAGCACTTACGCACATTGCATCATACAGGATCGCAAACCGAGAACCCAGTCGTCATACTCGAGGAGCCCGAGGAGCAGCTCGAGGTGCAGCCGTAGGAGGTGCCCGAAGCCGACGAGGAGGACGTTGAGGAACTTCCGGAGTGCCCCGATCACCGCCCGAGCTCCTTCGAGAGAGGCAAGCCCCGGAGCATTTTCTCCCCGGTTTGCAATTATTAATGAACTACTTTACTTTAATTGATGCATTACGTTCAGGAGTTGTTTGCAACCGTTGCTGCATTATACCTTGTCTACATTTGTTATACCATATCCTTGTTACCCTGGTATCCGTAGTCGAGTCAATGCTTAGCTGGCTTAGACCGGTAGAAGTCGGGTGATTTCCTGTCACCTGCGAGCTATAGGTGGTTACCTGGATCTGCTTGGATAACTATGTAGTCATGGTATAACTAAGTGTTAAATGAAGTTGAGACCGGACGGAGACTTACAGAGTTTTGAACTGTAGTGCTTTTCCGTCTGTGTCGATTAAGGACCGATCGTTGTTGGGCCTCGAGTCATGTTGAACGCATGCCTTACATTTAGCTGGCCGGATAAATTACCTTCCGACCGTGAAGCTGGGAGATTATTCGGGCCGAGTAGATTGCCCGCAGCGCACTGTGCCGGAGCAGGTGTGGTAGGACACGGGGGCGAGATGATAAGACCAAAGTGCAGTCGGTCGGCCCCCGGGTACATGTGGTTCCTAACAAACTCGAGACTCCTGGATAGTTGACTCGGTGATCAATAGCTCACTTTAGCGGGTGAGTGAGGTTTGTGTAAGGAATAAATCACCAGCTGGTTAGGAATCGATTCGAATCGCCATCGCTCCTGGATAGTGAGCACTTGACTTGAGTGACTTCATCGTAGTAATGTTGATGGAACACTTGGACAGTTATAATGGATATGACATTATGGAAGTTGTTAATGATCATTGGTTATCATTATTTGCTTAATCACATGCTTGCCCTAGTATAGGTGCAAATGTAGTCGACAGGTTAATAATAATTAACTTGACAATAATGCTTTGGAAAGGTTCTTGAAATGCTAAAAATGCCTTTTTGCAAATGAGTCAGCTACCCTACTATAAAGCCCTTCATAATTCTTGGTGTCACTTTATTTTTGGTTATGTCGGATAAGTCTAGCTGAGTACCTTCTCGTACTCAGGGTTTTATTCTCACTTGTTGCAGATGGGCAGATGTATTACGGCTACTGTATCAACTGCCTTTATCCTGCGATGGGTGATGCTTAGGACCATGGGCATGGTCATTCCGTACGTCTCGTCTAATGCTTTTGTTGGAGATGATCATCAGCTGGCACTGTATTTGAACTCTGTGTGAGTGTGTATGGTTTTAAACAAATGGCTTCCGCTATTTTTATTCGAACTCGTTTTGTAATAACTATGTTTTAAACTCTGATGTATCTGAGATGCGAACTTTTATGTAATATGTGATTGTGACCGCTAAACTTATTACGATCTTAGCTGGGAGGTAAGTTGATTTGAAATCCTTCGTGATTTCACGGACTACCGGGTTATACGGGCTTAAGTTTGCTAAATCGTCTGCTCTGGCGGATGATTTTCTTACTTAATTTCGTATAATTGGTCGGTTCTGTTACAGCGCCGGTGGTCTCTCTCTCTCCCTCTCCCTATC